TTTCGGATTCTGTGTCTCCCTCTCTCTGGCCCTCCCCCACTCATGCTCTGTCTGTCTCTCTCAAAAATAAATAAACATTAAACAATTTTTTAAAAAGTAAGGTAAGGGGAAGAGAATAATGGATGCTATTTCATATAGGGTGATTAAGGAATGTGTGCTCAATAAGGTGATGTCTGAGCAACAACCTGGAGGATGTGAGGAGTGAACCAAGTGGATAACTGGAAGCAGAGTATATTCTAGACAGAGGGAGTAGCAGCAGTACAAAGGTTCAGTCAGGATCATGTTGACATGTTAAAAAAAAAAGGGGGGGGGGCAGGAAGACCAGTGTGGTTGGCACTGGGGACCTGGGGGCTAGAACATCAAATGAGGCCAGAGACGTCAAGATTAGGGCTGCCCAGGTAGGGCCTGATGCTCACGTAAGACAAGTGACCTTAGCTGACTTACTATTCAAGGATCATCATGTTAAGGATGGACTCAGGGAGGAAGCTGGAAGAAGAGTAGCTAGTTAAGAGGTGAGGGATGGGCTAGGTGGTACTAGAGGAGGTGAGAAGTGATCAGAGTCTGCGTGTTTGGAGGGCAGCACTGATAGGAGTTATGGATAGAGTTTGCCCCCAGGATCGTTCTGTTGTGAGGTGGAAGTGTGGGGAACAGACTGGAAGTGTGGGGAACAGACTCGCAGGGTGGAGCCCCCAGAGAGCTCAGGAACACGGCAAACCAGTGGGGGTGAGAGAAGCTCAGCTTGCTGGTGTGTTGGCACCTCCACTTTACTACAAACACAGGGCCTAGATCAGCCCAATTTGTCCACACCCCCTGGCTGGAGGGACCGAGCTTAGAGTGTTCTAAAACCTGGCCAGGAGTGGTCCTCTGCTTTGGATGCACTTCCATGCAAGAAGCATCCTGGGAAATAAAGCAGCAAACAGTGCCCTTGCACAGACCTTGCCTGGGACAGTGGCTTGTCCCTGGGGCTGCTGTTGCTGCAGTTAGGATGTCGTTGTTTCTGCCCCTGCAATGAGCCTTTGATACCCTTTTCCTTACTGTGTTTCAGAATACAAGTCAATTAAGGATTGCGAGGAGCTGGTGATCAATACTACAGCCACAATCAACAACTTATCTTACTACCAAGTGAAGAATTCCATAATTCAAGACAAAAAGCTATATATTGCTGAATGTAAGGTTCAGTGTTGGGTTTGGGTGGATGAATATTTAACATTTTGACTCTATTTGCTAAACACAGACCTGGTGGCATTCCTATTTTCTGATTTCTGGTACAGATATCAAAGAGCCTCGTTCAATTCTAAGAAATTGGAATATGGGGAAAAGTTAGTGTCCAAGTTCTTGTTAAAGTCTCTTACAGTTTGTGTTTTATTATTGCTTTAAGATTTTGAGTTATCAGTATTTAGTATAATACTGGAGCCTAATAGCCTTTAAATTAAAACTTAAATTCACTGGTTTTATTTCTCTGGTCCCCAAACCCAGTGCTCATAAAGCTTCTTGTGAGTAATAACATGGATGGAATCCTTGAAGCTGTGCGTGTTTTTGGAAATCTCTCCCAGGACCATGACATCTGTGATTTCATTGTGCAGAAAAATGGTGAGTTAATGATACTCTGTGTTCATCAGCATGTACTTCTTGCCAATAAACAGCTAAGCAGTTCTAGAGCTTGGGTCATGACAGTATGATGCTTGTTTCTGCTTTGGGATGCGTAGTGCTTGACATGCCGTTCCATGCATGTGGAAGGCTCTCCACTCAATATGCCAGGATAGATCTGGTCAGTGTTCTCAGGGTTCCCCTCTCCCTTGTGCATGGTCTTCCGAGTTCTGAGATGGTGTGTGTGTGTGTGTGTGTAAGGGAAACAATCTATAGTCATTATTACTGTTCATGAGAATGGACTCAGTTGACATTCTCCTTCACGTACTAGAATGTCCATTACAGCCCTACTTGTAATAGCAACAAATGGAAAAAACCTAAGTGTGCATACATCATGATATGTTCATGCAACAAAAAGTTCTACATCAATTAAAACAAATGAACTAGAGGTTCGTGGATCAACATTGATCAGCCTCAAACATAATATAGGAGCAAAACAGCTAGTGACTGGAGGGTATATACAGAATAATGCCATTAATATAGGTTTTAGAACATGCATAACGATCTTGAGTATTGTTTATGTAATGTATAGTCATGATGTAAAGGTACAAATGACATTTGGAAATTGTAAACTCCACACTTAAGACAGAAGTCACCGTTGGAAGGGAAGGCATGCCCAAGATATGAAATTGGATCTGTAACATTTTTTTTAAGTTTATTTTTTTTATTTTGAGGTCGGGAGGGGCAGAGAAAAGGAAATAGAGAATCCAAAGCAGGCTCTGTGCTGTCATCCATGGCTCAATTCCAAGAACCATGAGAGTATGACCTGAGGCGAAATCAAGAGTTGGTCACTTGGGGCACCTGGGTGGCTCAGTCAGTAAAGCGTCTGACTCTTGATTTTGGCTCAGGTCATGATCTCACGGGTTTGTGGAATTGAGCCCCTAGTCCAACTCTGTGCTGACAGCGTGGAGCCTGCCTGGGATTCTCTCTGTCCCTCTCTCTCTCTGCCCTTCCCCCCACTCATGCTTTCCCTCTCTCTAAATAAATAAATAAACTTAAAAAAAAAAAGTCCAGGGGTGCCTGGGTGTCTCAGTCAGTTAGGCTTTGGCTTTGGCTCAAGTCATGGTCTTGCAGTTTGTGAGTTCGAGCCCTGTGTCAGGCTCTGTACTGACAGCTCAGAGCCTGGAGCCTGCTTCAGATTCTGTGTTTCCCTCTCTCTCTACCCCTCCCCCACTCACGCTCTGCCTCTCTCTCTCGCTCTTAAAAATAAATAAACATTAAAAAAAATTAAAGAAAAAAAAGTCAAATGCTAAACTGACTGAGCCACCCAGGCACCCCTGTAACATTTTATTTCTTAAGCCGGGTGGCAGGTACACAAGATAACCACCTCTATACATCTCAAATATTTCATGTAAGTATAATACCTAAAACTTCCTGATTATCCATGGTAGCAAATTTAGGTAATACAGATATTAAGGGGAAAAAGCAGCAGCAGCAAACTGTCACCCATAATCTCACTCCCCCAGAGATAACTGTTAACGTTTTGGTGCATTCTTTAGACTCTTAAACACACACATGTATGTGTCTGACCCATCAATGGGACTGAAGTCAGAACAAGATGGCCACCTCTTAGGTGATAGGGTGGAGGCAGAACACACTTTATCCAACCTCCCCCAATCTTTTGCCCAGCCCCTTCTGGGGGTATAAGAAACCAGGATAGATGGTTCCATTTCCTAGGTGTAAAGGAAAATGGTTCCTAGAGGTGGGAAGCCTGTCTTGCCCTGAGCTGCCCCCTACCCTGGAAGTCCTGCCTTGCTACAGGCCAGTTTCCAGCCATCTGAGCAGTTCTTTTACAAGCCCTGGAAGACTTTAGAGATCTCAACAGGAGCCTACTTCCCCCCCAGGGTTCTGTATTTAATTTTTTTTAATGTTTATTTTTTTTTTTTTGAGAGAGAGAGAGAGAGAGAGAGAGAGAGAGAGAGGACCAGTGGTGGGAGGGGCAGAGAGAGAATGGGACAGAGGATCTGAAACAGGCTCTGCGCTGACAGCCCTTTGCAGGGCTCGACTTACCAACCACAAGATCGGGCTTGAGCCCGAGGCAGATGGTTAACTGACTGAGCTACCCAGGCACCCCCAGGGGTTGTGTATTTAAAGAAAATTGCTGCAAAGGTTCAAAGGGGCCCTTGAGAAGAATCAGATGTTAGAGATGAATGTCACCTGTGTGGTTGGAATTTGTGATTTTTTTTTTTTTTCCCCCTTTCTACTGGAAGGGACTATATCATTGCCCTGAGGAGGGAACTGCTGCCTGGGTCAGATGCAGCACTGCTGGGGGACCAAGGACTTGGGGGACGGGGAGCAAGTTCTAGATGCAGTGGATGTTGGCAAACCCACAGCTGGGCATGAGTAAAGCCTTAGGTAGAATGGATTAAGTCCCCTAGCAGAGTTTCCGGTTTTTCGAGCCACTCCCCATTTCCCCCTTTGCCATTTATAATCTAAGGTACAGCTGGGAACCCTGAGCCTTATTGGTCCACATTTGTTCTCTGTCCTCCCAGTACACAAGTTCATGATTGCACTGCTCGATGCTAAGCATCAGGATATTTGCTTTTCTGCCTGTGGCGTTCTCCTAAATCTCACTGTGGATAAAAACAAACGTGTCATCCTAAAAGAAGGAGGTGGCATTAAAAAGTAAGTTTCAAGGCATGGAGTCCTGACTCTCAGATGTCAGAGGGAATGGTTTCCCATGGAGCTTGGGCCCCTCTCATCACTCTTCTGGGGTGGAGGTATTTCAGCATTTGGAACTG